AGTTCCTATCATAGACAGTGGACCTCATCTGGTGTTGATGGCTGTGGGAATTAACCATGTCCACCACGATGGAATTGTGTGGAGGGTGGAAGAAGTCTCCCACGCTGGGCCATAATATTTATTGTCTGCCCACTTGCAAGTAGGTGCCAACAATGCTGAGGTCTGCCAAATGATTCTTGCCAGGTCTAGAATGGCCTCATTAATAGTAGGGGAATCTTTGAGGAAGAGGATGAGTGGATTATGTCAAGGAGGTGATGGTGGGTGTCCTTGACTTCCTCTGGTGATATTTGGAGAGTGTCCGTCACTCTCTTCGCCATGTCCTGGAAGAGGCAAAAGTCATCTGCCAGAGATGGCAGGAGAGGCAGGCAGCCTTATCCAGGGATTAGGAGGATATGGTCCTTGGGGTCACTTCTTCCTCTACAGTGCTCTCGTGATCTTCCATTATTTTTTCCAGAGGTTCTGAAGCTCTGGAAGCCACGGCTGAAGAGGTGCGCCTTGAGGATTGGACTGGAAGCTCAAGAGGCACGGTGGCAATATACAGCCCAAGATTGCCAGTATTACTACTGTTGATATTGGGCACTGTAAAGATCCTGGGATGAGTACTGTGATGCCACCTCCTCAGGTTTGCAATCGGAGCCCGCACTAGAGAGCGGAGGAATGTGAGGGGGCAGTCAGGAAGATTGCCGTGCCAGGTGAAGACTCTGTCTGAAGGTCTTGGCACCGAGGAGACTGCAGAACATCTGATACACGGAGGTCCCTAGAGGGTTAGAATTCCATCAGTACCAACCAATTTGATTCCATTGACGGTACCGGGATGGATGGAGATCTTGACCATACTGGTCGCTCTGGTGCCTAATGAGGTGTTGATGACAGTATCAATGTAGGATCATGTACCAGCAACGTCTTTTTAGAGGAGTGCTGACTCATGTCCTTTGGTGCCATTGACTCAGTGCCTGTGCCCATTGGGACCATGGGCTTGTCAATGGTGCCTGCCACTGAGGACTTCCATGAGCCATGGGTACTGGTCTGAGAAGGTACCATCTGCATCGAGTGTACCAAAAAGCATTTGCGGCTATCTCAGGGTTTCTTGTAGGGGACTTCCCACTCTCTCTTTTTCAGTTATTTGTGAGAGGAGTCAGTGGCTTGTTTCTTCCCCTCAGGCCTCAACATCTAAAGGCTCTGGGCTGAAGACTCACATCTGCCAGGTAACTCATGGCGCGGGTCCGGAGAGCTGGCTCCATGAAGATAATCTTCTATCTGAGCAATTTGTCCTTATGAGACCAGGGCCTGAGTTGTTGGCAGAGACCACGCTTTTGTTGAATGTGGTCTTTCCCAAAGCAGTGAATGCACTGGGAGTGCTTGTCTGTGACCGGGATCTCTTCTTTGCAAGAGAGAGGCACTTCTTGAAGCCCGGTGACCTGGGCACATCCCACTGGGGGAAGGGTTCCCTACAAGGAAAAAGGAGGGGGGGGAAATGTTTTTATTTTTTATTTTTAGGGAGAAAAGATAAGAAAACGGGAAAAATTAGAACTACAACTAAGAACTAGGAGACTAACTATAGAGATGCAAATTGAAAGCAGTGGTCCTCACGGACTGTGAATACCTCTGTTTCTAGCCAGGGGAACTGAGAAGGAACTGAGAGGGGTTAGCCTACGTGTGCTGACTAGCCTTGTGGTAGGGCACGAGGGGAGACAGCACGTGGGACCTTAATGTTGTTACGAATTAAGGTTCCTCCTGGGACCTTAATGTTGTTACGAATTACACCTGGTAGGACACGCACACCAATGCTGCGAATTACACCTGGTAGGACACGCACCCAATGCTGCGAATTATACCTGATAGGTCACGCACAGTTCGAATCTAGGCTGAGGCACAGAAACAAAGTCCACAACTGCAGAGTTCCCAAAAGACACTAAGTTTATTACGCTTGAGCGTGGTGCCCCCCTGCTAGCCAGGGGGGGACCCTGAATACAGATTATACAAAGGTTATATACTTTTTAGCAAAGCATGTTGCCCTCATGCATCAGAAACCTTAGCCAATAAACAAACCCTTGTCTTATCTACCACCTATCCCTGCTTGGTGCATTCCTCGTGCTATACCAGTATGTTAATTACACAGCATGGTCCTAAAGCCATGCATCAGTAACTTTTATTATCAGAATGGGAGGCCTCACATCAAGGCCAAGAGACAGGGAGTTAGAGACTAACAAAAACCAGATACTGGGAGTCAAGGCAGGCTGGAGACAAGGAGGAGGATTTTCACAGGGATTCAGTATCTAAGAATCACTCCTCCTGGTGTATGATGTGCTGGCATTTAAACAATGGTGGGCCCCAAACCAAAATGAAGTCACGTGTGCTAACTTTTCCTTAACAATGTGGTTTTAGCTGGGTTGATTTTGGGGGAGAGACTGGGGAGAGAGGGGTTGGCTTTTGAATTCTTAGTGTGATTACATCAGCTCAAAGGAGAATTATAAGCATTCATGGCAGCCCTATTGGAAACTCTTTTTCACAAGGACAAAGTTTCTCTTAGACCTCCAGAACTGTTCGCTTACATGTTTTTCTTTCACTCTAGTGACAGTAAAGTGAAGCTCCACTCTCTGAATGTGTTAAGAGCACTTTTTCTAGATTGTTTATTGCCTTTGCAGAAGGGATTACAGGTCAGGCTGTGTCATCCAAAAAATATCTAAGTGGATATCAGAGTTTATTAAAATGCTACCAGGTAGATAGATTAAAGTCTACTAGTCAAGTTAAAGCTCACTCCACAAGGGCTCATGCCGCTTCTTTCAGAAGTGTCCTGATTTCTGAAATTCATGGAGAAGCCACCTGGAGTTCTGTGCATGCATTCCATAAACACTATTCCCCTGTAAAGACACATAGAGTCAGCTGTCCATTTTGGCAGAGCTGTATTACAATCTCTATTTAAATAGGCTCTGAGCATTCACTTCTTAGCATCAGGTTACTTCTCGAAAGTCACCAAGAGTGGAAAGTGTGTGTGTGTCTGTGTGTGTAGACAACCACTCAAAGAAGAAAAAAAGATGTCTTGCATAACTGGTTCTTTTTGAGTTGTGTTGTCCATATGTATTCTGTGACCCGCCCTCCTTCCCTTCTGGTACAGAGTCCTTTAACACCTGGATTCTGTTTTGGCAAAGGAAGTGAAAGGCAGTTGGCCCTGCTCTGTTCTTTTATGCCCTTGGGAGCGGGGGCAAGGACACACAGGATGTAGGGATGGGCCAATGCAGGCTGCTGGCCAAAAGATTCCCATGTACACTGAGAGGACTACATATGGACACCACATCTGTAAGTAAGATAAATAACCATTTTTTTTCCCTATGACAAAGGGATTTGAAGAAAATGTAAGCCATTAAAAAAAATTCGGTCACTTAGCCCTTCTTAAAATAGTCAGAACAAACCTCAAATGATATAAACTACTAATATCAAGCAATGTACAAACTACAATAAATATTTTAAAATGATATTCTAATGTAAAAGATAATTTTTGTAGGATTTTTTTTTTTAACCCCTGTTAAAAAGGAAATCTTGGTGCAGCCCTACCTATGGTGGCGGTATTGGACTATCATAATATTGCTGTGCCATATTAAAGCCAAAGGTATATACTACTGGTTGTGAATTTGGAGTCATTTGGGGAAAGGGTTCCTCAGATAAGCCCTGCCTCAACTCCCCCAATAAGGAGTTCACTTTATTATTCAAACGGCTCTAAAACCCACTTGCATAGTTATATTGCCCTGAAAATTGGTATTCCACAACAGAAGCTGGGGTAGATTTTGGGGAAGAGAGGGAGGAGAACACTCATTGAGATGAAATCATCAATTACCCCCTCTGAGTTATTGTATCAGACTGTATTCATCTTCATGGGTGTTCTCCTTCATCTGAGAACATCCCATTGAGATGAATAAGCATCTTTACACCTTTGCAATCCTCCTGTTTGTAGAGTTTTGTGCATAGGCCCCCTCACTCTAAACTAGCCCCCCAAATTGGAGTACAAAGTTTGGGGCTTCGTTCCACTCTGTTTTGCTGACTGCAGGTGATATGTATCCTCCTCGCTGCCCCCCTCTTCCTTTCTCCAAGTCCTTCCAATCCTACTGGGGGCATGAAGGGGCCAGGAGGAGAACAGAACTGGTAGTTGAGTGGCAGTGAGGTGTTCCCAGGAAGGCTTTGTACTCCCCCACCACAGGTGTCCTGCAACCATGACCCCCGCACTATCACCACTTACTCAAAAAAAACGGGGAAGTTCATGGGCTAAAAACTTTGTAAATTCAGATTTAAGGTTGGCCTATGGTGCCTTGTACCCTTCCAGAATGTCAAGGTGCACCTGTGCTTAAATCTCTTAAATACAGGGTTATGGTACACACCAATCCCACCTTGCAATCTTGATTGTGCCCTCTTTGGGCTCCAGCGTCCCCAAACGTATGTTATAACATTCTTTCCTTCCAGAGGATTTGAAGCATTCTGGCAACACAGCACATGGATACAGTAGGAGAAACTGTCAGACTGTATCTTTTCTAAATAAAAAAACAATTGAAGGCAGGCTTAGTGAACGGCAGCTGGCCTATACTCAACTACTTTTACCTACTCAGTTTAAACCATTCCAGAGTTGCTAGATCTTGTAACCCACCCCTTGGCCCTTGTCCTAAGGATGCCTTTTTCCCTGTTGTGTGCTGTTAAGTATGCTCTCATACTACTATAAATTTCCAAGGCAAGATGACTGTTGTGTGCCTCTACTTGCACAACCCTTATAACTCAGTACTTCGGATAGTAAATCCTTTTTTAAGATAATGTGCCCTTTCTTGGGGGATGGGAACATAGATACACAGTAAAAATAACAGTGAAAATGCACACTGATTTCAGACTTGTAAGCCAGTGCCTAAAAAGTCAGATATCTGCTTGCAACCATGTTATTTTGAGATGCTGAATGAACATTGCTAGCCTTTTTGCATAAATGAAGAATTCATGATAAAGTATGCTCTTTTATTCTTTCACAGATGCTTATGAAACAGCTAAGATGTTGTGTGAGCAGTACTATCTGGTTGCACCAGAGTTGGAAGTTGAAGAGTTCAATGGTAATAGGAAGTTCGTTTTATTTTAAGTGCTCCAGGAAATACAGGGGAGGGGGGTATAGAAGTTTAATAGAACAAGTATACTTGCTAGCTGTTGTTTAGTCAATAGATAAGATTTTAAATTGAGTTACTGCAGGATTCAAATATCATATACAAAGAGGTCTCTTTCCTTGCCCTCCTAATTCCTCTCCCTTCTAGGGCAGCAAAGAAGTTGATTAGTTAAATAAAGTGATTCCAGTGGGAGGAGCACCCTAACATAGAGGAGCATTTGTTTAATACTTGATGCTGAGGGGAAAGTGCTGCATGATGAATCAGATATCATTTCCAGCAGCTGCCTTTGCTTTCCTTCAAGTTATCTTGTGTAGGTAATTACCAGGCCTGATTCTACTTATCTTCTGATATGACTGCATTCTGTGTTTAATTGTAAAGTATGTTTTCAAGTTCCACTATTACACATTTGGAAAGTGAGAGAGAACATAGTTATACAGTTGTCTTTATTTGTTACAAATTCAGCTTACTGCAGTAGATGGAGTGAACTGTGATACCACAAGGGGAATATGTTGAAATTTTTTTTTAGCTAAGTTTTATTTATTTCTAGCTAAATCTCCAAGCAAGCCTATTCAAGTAGTCTACGTACCCTCACATCTGTTTCATATGCTATTTGAGTTGTTCAAGGTAGGTAAGATTTATTAATGCTCTGATTGTAATTGTATGTTGTAGTTAAGGTTCTTCTCAGTCATAATGTTTGCAAAAGTAATTCTTCCTCGTGTTCTCATACTTTTTGTTTCTGAAAGTTTGGAGTGATGTGATGAAAGTTAGCCCTTGTGCCCTTCCCTAGCGCACGTACTTCAAACACTCATTGACACTCCAGTGATGACTGTACTCCTTTCTGTATCTGGTTGACTCAAAACAGCTTGTGGTAAAATTTCTAACACTACCCTTAATGGTACAGTACAAGACCTTATTATTTTGCTCAGGATTTTTGCCTTATTGGATGGTTTAAAGGCTGGGATATTTGGGTGGATGCTAGTGCCCCTCTTGAAGGATGTCAGTTTTCTTTTTGAATGGTGTAACTTTAAAAAAAAATTGTTTACTAATGTTCAGAATAACTGACAAGTTAAACTGTAAAGCAAAGAGAATAGGAGAGACATTACAGTGCAAAAATTGTATGTTTTGTGAAATAATGTGCAAGTTCCCAGAAAGGCATAATTTGACACATTTTAGAAATTAAAGAAAACAAATACATTCAGTAGAAAGCAATGTGGAGTTTTTCCAAAGAATATATTTTTCTTTTTGTGTTCTCCATTAATGTGCATGTACTCGACTGCTATCTTTCCCCTGTCCTGTCATGAGCTATATGATATGTGACTTACTCTAGGACAGAGTTGGTGCGACTTTGTGGAGTGATGCTGTAGATGTGTTTATAAAACTCTAAAATGATATCATTCGTGCACTAATATAAAAGTCAAACACACAGTAGTAGCTGTAAAAATGGTGTTCAATTTCTGATGTACTGTGAGTGCAAATTGCATTGATTAAATGTCTGCAACATAACAGTTTTGATGTGGGTCAGGAACATCAAGGCTTTACTATACTTCTATTGCACTTTGTCATTTTCAAAGTATAGTGATTTATTTACTCTGTATGACTAATACAAGTGTTAATTTCTGTACTGTGGAAGTGGGCAGTGTTGGTATGTATGAATAATTTAATGTAGAAATACATTTCTTTACAGTAGAACCTCCGAGTTACAAACATCTTGGAAATGGGGGTTGTTTGTAACTCTGAAATGTTGGTAACTGAACAAAACGTTATGATTATTCTTTCAAAAGTTTACAACTGAACATTGAGTTAATACAGCTTTGAAATGCATATGCATACTATGCATAAGCAAAATGCTGCTTTCCTTTTATCTTTTTAGTAGTGTACATTTAACACAGTATTGTACTATATTTGCTTCTTCTTTTGTTGTTTTTGTTTTGTCTCTGTTGCTGCCTGAATGTGTACTTCCAATTCCAAATGAGGTTTGTGATTGACTGGTCAGTTTGTAACTCTGGTGTTCCTAACTCTGAGGTTCTACTGTATTGTTTTGTGCTTTTATGGTGAGGTATCCAATAGAAATATTAAGTTACTTTTACAGTAAAGTATTACAATATAAAAATGTAATAAATTGACAGTTGACCTCCTGTCAAGTATATCTTGAGTTCACTCAGGTATATCCTCTTCTGTATCCATGTATGCAAATTTAGGGCAGTTTTATTCACAAGTTTTTCAGAATAACACAGTGAAAATGTATCCGATTTGTACATTGTTACTAAAAGTATTTATGGTAAAGTTGAGGTGAAGAATATATCAGAATCTAAAACATATGGTTTTAACTTTAGAACTCAATGAGAGCTACCGTGGAATTACATGAAGGTAGGAAAGAAGGCTATCCATCAATTAAAACATTAGTCACTTTGGGGAAAGAAGATCTATCCATAAAGGTAAACTAATAATATTTTTACACTGCTGAACTGACTTTCAAAGAAATGCTCACATTAGTAATGTTTTTGATAAATTTATCTTTAATTTTACAAGGACTAAATTATGTACTCTGTATAGGTTCTGGCACTCATTCCATTTGCATTAATGTTTATACAAGTGATTCAAATAATGCTTTGTTTGTGTTTGATGCTTGAAGTTTCTGTTTCCGAGCAGATATTGAGTGTTCAAGTAAAACCTTGACTTTTTTCTGTAGATAAGTGATCAAGGAGGTGGTGTCCCTCTGAGAAAAATAGATCGACTGTTTAACTACATGTACTCAACAGCACCTAGGCCTAGTTTGGAGCCAACAAGAGCTGCACCTTTGGTAAGCATCTGTGGGTCAGGGTAAAATATTTTTTCAGAACGTAAGTGCAGTTACACTCCTCTAATCTCTCTTCTAGAGTAATCTTTTTTCCTACATTAAAACTTCTTGAAGTTTTTCTATCACAGAAACTGGATATCATCAGGAAATCTGCGTAGGCAAAACTTATCAGGAGAAAATGCTGCTGATTCTTCACTATTATTAATTTTTAGCAACTTAACTTTGGAGTAGGAAATTACTTTTCTTTGAGTGTTTTGAACACCATATGCTTGTAAATAACTGTCTATATACAGTGCAGCATTTTAAAACAGATGAATGTAAAAGATGTTTAGTATCTAAATTAACTAGAATATAGTGTTCTGCATATACACCAAATAGTAGCCAATTAGCTGAGCCACTTTTTTCAGTATTATAGCACTTACAGAGCACTGCCCGTAAGTAGGAAGTGAGTTTGTATCAGATTTTTAAAAAATGACTTTTATACAGGTTTGTCTTTGTCCTGTAACAATAAAATTAAATCAAAATTTGTTTAATGTGTGGTGTCACCAACTAACTCATTTTAGACTTTGCTCTTTAGTAGTGGCATCTGTCATTCTATTCCTCTTCAGTAATATCTTCTGTGCCAGATTTACAAAAATGTTCAGCACCCGGTAGCTCCCAGTAAGAACAATGGGAGCTGCTGGATGCTGAATACATTTCAGATTTGGCCCTTCTGTTATGTATGATTCCTTCTTACAGGATTTATACATTTTGTATGTATTGGATCACTGAAAAGTTGGTCTAACTAGTGTACCACTTGGCTGGCATTATTTAATAAGAGGGTTGGTTAATGACCTACAGTTCACTTGCCTTTAATCATAGATACCCCTCTTCTCATCTTGTTCGTTCTGTACAGTTTCTTATGCAGTTTTTAGCCTTGAGTATGTAAAGTAAAAAATGGTATTTTGGGCACTTTCCTCTTCATGTTTTAAATACTCTCCTGCCAAACGTGTTCTTGTGTGGTATTTGGTGGTGGTGGTGAACTGCATTAGTTTTCTTTGCTGTTTGTAAGCAAATAAGAAGATATGATGCCTTCCCCCAGAGAGTTTACAATCTAGTTCATACACGTAATGTGTTTGGCATGGAACAATCTCATTGGTACAGAGAAAATTACTGTTTTCCTTCAGGTTATTTGAGTGGCTCTACCTCAACCATCTGCTTCTCTTTTTGGGTATCTCATTGTTTGATCCAGCCTCAGATGCTCCTGCAGTGCAAATGAACCCCAATCTACATCTCTGTTGACTTGCACTGTCATCTTTCTATAGCCTATCTTTCTAAGTATTGCTTCTTTTGACTCTTTCAAATTCTAGATTAATACCAAATGCTTCAAAAACAGAAGTGCTCTTTTTCTACAAAATCCACTTGGATAGTCAGCAACATGGAATGGTCTCTTTAATTCAAACCTGAAGTTTGTTCCCAGTATCAGGAATTGTTTAGTCCTCCTTGACTACAGTCGCTCTTCTTACTGCACCACTTTTGTCTAGAAATCTGATTTTTACCACCCTCAGAAAATTGCCAGAACTCATCCATACCATGAATCTGATAAAATATCTTATTCGTTCCTTAATCACATTTTGTCATCACTATTTTAATTTCTCCTTTTATGGTTTTCCTAAACTCCTGCTCTTTTAAACTTTGTAAGATCTAGACTATTTTGAGCAAATTATTTCCTGTATCCTTTTCAGTCGCTTCTTTTCCATCTGTGAATCCAGTTAAAAACTGCCTTCCTATCTTTCCTAATTCTGTATACAATCATTCCATTTAATATCTTATCTCTGATCCACTTAATCCATACCTTCTCACTTGGGACCCAATCCTGCAACCCCTGACAAGCATACTTATTCTTAAGCATGTGCATCAGTGCTTACAGGATTGGGGCTTTTGCTTATCCAGTTTTGTCATCTTCTATTTCCCCTGAGATTTTACAAAGTTCAGGGCGTAGGGAAGGTGTTACTATTATACTTGTGCTGCCAATCTGTGTGGGAACTCCTTTCCTCTAAATCACTTTCTCACTAGGAATTCTACTGTAAAATCTATGTCTGCCTGTAGTTGATACTATATTCCACTTTCATATTTTCCCATACCTATTTTTCCCATGAACGGAACCTTATATTGTCTCCTAATCTACAAGCCAGTTGCAATTCTATAGCAGGGGTGGCCAAACTCACTGACCATCTGAGCAGCATAGGATGATCTTCAGAAGTTTGAGAGCCAGGCGTTCTGGCCAGGGGGCTGAAGCACCAGCCGGGCTCCAACCCTGAGCTCCCCCCACACAGGGCAGAAGCCCCTAGGCCCAGCAGGCACCTCCCATGGGGCTGAACCCCCAAGGCCCACCACCCTGTGCAGAGCCTCGAGCCCCCACCCCCAGTCTGATAGGCAGAGAATGGGGATGTGGTTGGCTCCACGAGCCGCACTTAACTGTAAAAGAGCTGCATGTGGCTTACGAGCCGCAATTTGGCCACATCTGTTCTATAGCATTTATACTTCAGTTTTCTTCTACTCTACTCCCTCTTCAGGTGGCATTTCCCTCTTCTGCCTGTATGAGCAGTTGTTTTCAGTCGGTAAAGCATTCTCTTTCTCTCGCCCCCTCAATCTTCCAAAAAGGAAAGAAAAGTGATCCTGGCAATTATTGTCCTGGAAGTCTGACTTCTTCCCTCTAGGGTAGTGGACCAAATATTGAGAGAGAGAGAGGGTCACTGAGCTTTATCACTACATGGCCCATGGGGAGAGGATTTCCAAAGCAAGGCTCACCATCCTGTTTCATCCAATGCAGGAGTCGAGAGAGATAAGACCTACTGCTGATTCTATTGTTGAGGGAGATGATATGGTCAACTGCTCAGGTTTTTTTGGCCACAAAATCAGATAGTTCAGGATAATGTAGGAAAGAATTTCCTGTTTAAATTGAATCATTCAGCCCATCTAAACCACAGGAAGATATTTTTCCATCAATGAATATCAGAGACCATAAAACGTAACTCAGTAAAGACCCATCACTCCTGTATAGGAAGGAAGGTCTATACTTCAAATGATTGTATGATACTCTTATTTTACTTCATATAACACATATCAGAACTTGTCATATATTGTAAAATGATTACTTATATTTTTCTGTTTTAACTTTCTCTCCCATTTTTTTAACTGAGCCCATATACAATGTATGAAACGTTACATTTGATTTTGGTTTTAGTTCTTTGATGAATATTCCTTCTTTTTCAATAATTTCTGCTACGAAATTAGGTCAGTGGAGAAACCTTGTTACCATGGCAGCCAGTCCTGTCAGTAGGCATCAGCAAACTAAACAATTGCTTAGGGCCCCAAGCAGCTCACGCCCCACCAGCCCCCATTAATTATTAGTATGTGTTGTGTGGGGGAGGCACCAAAAATATTCCTGCTTAGGGCCCCCACTGGGCTAGCACCGGTGCTCCCAGCATTCTGATCCTGACAAGGTCTTGGGATTGCCCATACTATGTATTTATAATTGATAAACAACAATTGAGTTCATTGACACTTATATTTAATGACAGTTAAATCTTTAAGAGACCGGTTTAAGTCACACATTTAAAATCTAAGTTAACTATTTATAGTGGGGAAAATGTGCTTTAATTTAGATCTAATAGATAATGCTAGCAGAGCATGTTTAATACAGTGTGGAATACATTTCCCATGTATCTGGTGCACAGTCTAATATGTGATGAAAGATTGGTGTTAGAAAGCTTGTTTTCCCAAAGACCAGAGTGTTGCCCCCATTGCCTGTATTCTGTGACCTAGAGCAAGGACAGCCCTGACACAGCAGTTAATGTGTGTTAGTTGGTGTACTTTTACTTGAGAGAACAGGGTTATGTTAAAACAAGATCCCTGGACTCTGAACCTTGTGGCCTTCAAGGTGTCCACCAAAACAGTGCATGAAAAATAGGAAGTCTGCTTTCCGAAGGGCGAGCTGGAGAATATGGGGAGGGGAAGGTAAAATTTAGGAATGAATTGGTGTGGGATGGCATGGACAAAAGTAAGGAACGGGAAACAAGAAAGACTGGGTGATAATGGAACTCCATGGTGGAGTCTGGGGACAGGTAGTGTGTGTTCTGGGGGTGCCCAAAATTTGGGGGCAGTGAGTTCTGTTTAGTCTTGATCCACTCTTGAGGATGAATCGTGTCAACTGTTAGCTCTCCCAATTCACATGCTTTTTAACTTTAGTAAAATAACTAGTGTCCTATGTCCAGCAAAGACTTGAGTGTAGTTTTTTAAAAACATTTCTTTGGAAATTGATTATTTTGCTATCCTAGAAAAAATTCTTCCATTGTTAACGATTCACAAGAAATAAATATGCTCTTAAAATGAGATGTCTCCAAGCAATGCATGTGCCTGTATGTCCTGTGTTAATGGGAGTCTTTGAGAAGTGAGTTTATGGCATGCTGTTTTTTAATTTAAAAGAAAGAGCAAGTAAACAAACAGCTATTTTCATAGTGGAAGCACAGATACTAATAACTATATAACAAGCAGCATAACAAATATTTCCAGGAATTATCTTCCCCATTTTTCTCCTCCATTTCGCTCCAACTTACTGTTTTCGCCATCAACTTAAAAGTTGAGCAATGCTGTAATCAATCCAAGTCTCTGCATTTAGATTCTGTAAAAATCAGGCAACTTCCCTGGAAGAGAGTGTGTGTGTGTGTGTGTGGTATGCATGTCTATAAAGATAGACATGATAAAGCTGCACAATATGAGAGAACATGGGAGCTCTGGTATAAAGGTTTTATCAATCTGAGTTTGGAATAGCTGTAAGAAAAGGAGTACTTGTGGCACTTTAGAGACTAACAAATTTATTTGAGCATAAGCTTTTGTGAGCTACAGCTCACTTCATCGGATGTATTACTCATGAGTGTTGAAGCCATGCACTCATTGTGTAGGTCATCCCGAACTCATGCTGGAAAAACCTTTATAACATAGCATCCCATTATGTATTTTAAAATTCAGGCCCGATCCTTAGCTGATGTAAATCCAGTGTTGCTGTTTCCTTGAGGACCTTACATGATATTTACCTTACGTGATATCTACCTTCTTTTCTGGGAGGCAGATTTTGGGTCTGAACTGATTGAAAGTTTCAGCTTTCAAGGTGGTGGCCATAGCAATAAGTATTGTGCCCCCAGTGGATACATACTTGTATAGAGACTCATTGCAATTTGATGCTATGCTGCTTTTCCATACAGTTTAAAGTGTATCACTCAAGGGGAAGACAGTATGATGTACTTTACTTTTATAATTTAGGTCTTAAATGAAGGAGATGGAGAAATCAGAGCAAAATTATAATAATGCAGTTTGTACGCAATGTGATGCTTGTACCATTGTTGATTTTCTGAAAAAGGTCAGGGCTGAGGTTCTTTTGCAGAGCTATGTGAGGAAGTTAGCACAGCAACTCACGTCTATAATGCCTGGCTCAAGCCAGGGTTATTAATACTAACCTCATTAGTAACTTTTCTCTAAAGTCTGTCAAGATGACACATTAACAGCCTTATTATGCAATGTGTTACTGGGTATTGGTGGTACTCGAATTCCCATACAGGGTTTCTTACAACAGCTCTGTTCATCATTACTGCCCCCCAAACAGTGGGTGGGCTTGCTAGGGAGCCACAGAGGTGAGTGATTCCTCTAGTCAGTTAGTTAGCCAAGAAGCTAGAGCAGCCATTTGCTTGTTCATGTTTGTGGGATGTGATTCTTCACAAGGACTAGATTACATAAATGACTGAATGTTAAATGAGCATTTTGGTCCTTTTCCTGTGCTTCTGGTTTGCCTTTCTTGTTGTTTTGCTGTAGTTCAGACTTTTTTGGCAGCTTTTTGTTGTTCATTGCTTTGTAAGAGCATAGTTTTCAAGCACTTTGTTTATTGCAGCCTATCTTTCTTGCTTTGGAAAGTCCTTGCCAATATAAGGGGATTCAAACAAATAACAAGTATGATAATTCTCTACCTCAGCTGGGCTGACGTTGTGGGGGGCTGAAACAGGATGTGCGCCACTCCTGCCTCCTTGCATCACAGAAACCTGCTTAGACTCCCTTAATTGTTTATCTAACTGTGCCATTCATTTACGTTCTCTCCACCAACCCTTTACAGTCTCTTTCAGCAGTGCTGTTTGCAGTGTACCCTGTGCTTTTGGCCCTTCACTTGGACCTGAGAGGGACTGAGGTTTTTTTTTCTCTGAGATCTCCATGAAACTGGACTCAGCTAGCTCTGATCCTCTCTCCCCCTCTCTGCTTTCCTGTGCCCTTCTTATCAGTTTTGAGCTGATGGACCAATTAGCTCTTCAGCTCATCCATCCCCCCACCCCCCACTCCTGATTGGGGTAATTTAAGTTAATTATCTAATCAGCCTTTTCTGAGCTAACTAAACAGTGTCAGAGTGATCAGAGTGCAAGCTTACCTGGTAACTCTCTGCACTCTGTCACAGGGGCTGAAAGCTAGGATCTGCAGGTAAAATCTTCTTCCACTATCTTCAGTGAGAGAGAAGACTGCCAGTATGATAATCCTCATTTCCATAGGCTAGGGTCATGAAAGGGGAAGACTTGTGTCCTATGTAATTGGGGATACAGGTCTTAGTGCATAACTACTTCAAGCCTATGAATGAGTCTTTGCCTATGCAAGTAGAGTGTGGCTTCTAATGAGGCCTTAATGTTCAACAGAAGGGCTACTATGCTGCAGCATGATCTTTTTGATGATAGGTAACCATAGCAAGGACTATCTGCCTATTACTATTTTGTATATTATTAATAAAGTTGCAGTCATTACTTTCCCTACACCTCCCTTCTGTCCTCCATTGCAGCATGTTGCAACGTGCCGTCAACATTACAGATCTACATTATAGATCAGCTGAAGTATGCAGGGCTGTGTCTTGCTTTTTCCACATTCTGTTCCAAGATAATAAACTGCCATCAGATGCTCAGTATCACCAACGATGAATGGAATATTGCAGCACAAGCTATCTCATGAGAGAGCTGTACAGAACATCATCCTCTTTTGTTTGGTAGGGACTGCTTACTGTTTGTGCTGCTAAATTAACTGTATTCTTGGGGAAAGTAACAAAATGCACAAGCTAGTCTCCTAAAGCCTCTAATCAGATTTGGTCCTTATTTTTGTATGTTGCCAAAATGTATTACGGATGTTGGTGATTTTTCTATTTAATATTTAAGCAAGTAAATCTTGTATAGGCAGAAGGAAGGCTGCAATGTTATATAGGCTGAGGAACAAAAGAAAGTCTGAAGGGCAAATTGATGCAAATAGGGTAATTAGTTTTCTTTAACTAATTTCTTTAACTTTAACATCTTGTTTTGATAAATAATATACAGTGTATTGATTTTTAACCTCCTCACCACAAATTTTTATTTTGTTCCGTAGGCTGGATTTGGGTATGGTTTGCCAATCTCTCGTCTTTATGCTAGATACTTTCAAGGAGATCTCAAACTCTATTCGATGGAAGGCGTGGGTACTGATGCTGTAATTTATTTGAAGGTAACAACTTGATTCCATCATAAGATAGTAAAGCGCTCAGTATAATTAATTCTCGTCAGGCAGAACAGTCAACTGTTCCTGCTTTCACACTTAAATTTGTTTCCAGTATATATACCAGTGTGTTTTAACTTGTATTCTTGTACTTCATTTAAATCAGACATGCAGAATCCTAAAAACTGAAGTTATAAATGTGGCATTTTTGACCACCACCTTTGATATTGAATTAGCTTGTTTCCAGTATTTTTTTTAATCCCTTAATGTTGGGTCTTTGTTCCATATTTTGATTTTGATCCATATTAAAGCGATGAGATACCCAAGACCCTGGTGTGATAACAGGCAACTTTTCTTAGTACTTTTGTTCTTTTGGTTTCTGACACTTGTGAATTAAATTGGGAGAGCAGGAGCAAAGTGTACATGGGAGTGTAGAATAATGATACCGGTTAAAATGTTCCATATCTATTCTTTTTTTTTCTTCTCCTCCTCCCAGTCTTTACTTTTACTTCTCCCATCTTTGGGGATCACCCCTTTAGTACGAACCTTGCCCCTAGCCAATGAAGGTTAGATAGTTTATTGTTTGGAATTTACCAAGGATTGATTCTCCATCACTGGCAAGTTTTAAATCGGGATTGGCTGTTTTTCTAAAAGATACGCTGTAAGAGTTATTGTGGGGAAATTTTACTGCCTGTGTTATACAGGAGGTCATAGAATCATAGAATATCAGGGTTGGAAGGGACTTCAGGAGGTCATCTAGTCCAACCCCCTGCTCAAAGCAGGACCAATCCCCAACTAAATCATCCCAGCCAGGGCTGGGTCAGACTAGATCATCACAAAATAGAGAAACCCTCACAGAGAACGTTCTGCCAGCGGCTCCCTCTCTTTTATATTAAGGGAGTTCCATCTCCAGTGTGTCTGCTGAGCTCAATTGTAGCAGTATATCATGGGGGGAGAAGCATTACTCAGGGAACCAGGTCACAGACAAATCAGGGCATTTAAAGCCAACTGCTTGAATCCAACCCAGTGCATGTCACATAGTGCTAGTCCGTGCAGCTGCCCTAAGTAGGCATTTCATAATTCTCCACTGGCTTCATCTTCTGAATGTTACCAAAGTGTAACGTCACTTGGAGTGCATTACAATAATCTAATCTTGATTTGACAAAGGTATGGACAAGTGTGGCAGGGTCCTCACTGGAGAGAGAAGATGAATGTTTGGTGGGCTTACTCACCAGCCCAGGAAAATGTAATAATAGAAAAAACTGCTACCCATACATCCAGGAGCAGCCCAGGCTCTGACAGAAACCCCAAGTTGTGCACTGGTGTTACAACTGGCAGTTGCGATCCCTCTTTGAATTCTACCACCTCTTCCACCTGCTTCCCCACAACCGACCAACACTATCTCAGTCTTGTCTGGATTGCGTCAAGCCAGCTGGCTTTAGTTCTAGATTCAAATTAATCATGTTATATCTAGGGCAGTGGTTCTCAGCAAGTGGTACATGTATCCCTGGGGGTACACAGAGGTCTTCCAGGGGGTACATCAACTCACCTAGATATTTGCCTAGTTTTACAACAGGCAACATAAAAAGCACTAGTGAAGTAAGTACAAACTAAAATTTCATACAGACAATGACTTGTTTATACTGCTCTATATACTATACACTGAAATGTTAGTACAATATTTATATTCCAAATGATTTATTTTATAATTATATGGTAAAAATGAGAAAGTAAGCAGTAATAATGTGTTATGACATTTTTGTATTTTTATGTCAGATTTTGTAAGCTAGTAGTTTTTAAGTGAGGTGAAACTTGGGGGTACGCAAGACAAATCAGACTCCTGCAAGGGGTACAGTAGTCTGGAAAGGCTGAGAGACACTGATCTAGGGGAGTGGGCCTACCAAAATAGTTTAAAAAAAAACCGCATAAACGGCCCCCTAAAATTTTTTTCTTTTAACTGCTTTCTTTTTATTCTCTTTATAGCCATCTTGGAGACGGGGAGAGTTTCAAAATGGATTTTTTTTTATGGATTTTTATTGCAATATGGTCAACCCATTTTGAACTGGGTCACCATAAGCATGGTCAAAGAGGTTTCTAAAATATCATGTGTGGGGGACATGTAAATAGTTGAAGCTTTCATTGAATGCAGAAGTTAGTGTTCACAAAGAGTCTGTTATCATGTTTACCACCTTATTGTACATATCTCAGCAACAGTCTCTTACCATTGCTTTCATTTTATAGGCTCTTTCAAGTGAATCGTTTGAAAGACTTCCAGTTTTTAATAAGTCAGCATGGCGACACTACAAGACTACACCTGAAGCTGATGACTGGAGCAATCCTAGCAGTGAACCCAGGGATGCGTCTAAATACAAAGCTAATCGATAATTTACCATCTTTGTCTCTCCAGAAGATGACTTCTGATTTCAGTTTAAAGTCTCTGCTTTGTTCCAAAATCCACTGAACCATATTAGCCAATTACTTCCATACAAAGTGCTATAAGGGCACTGAAATTGCAAAAAACGAAGTGATGTATGAGACTTAAGAAAAGCACTAAGCATTTTTGGTGTAGGTAGTGTTATAACAACTTTACCAAAATATGCTTGGTTAGTTTGGTTTGATATTGACAAATGGGATTGCACTGTGATTGCACTTAAGTACACAACTGTACAGTGAAAGGGTATTACTTCTTAAAGGCCAGTTTTTATGCAGAAATAAAAATCAGCAAAATCTATAGAATCCCTTTAATAGTCAATAGCATCTTATACAGCAATATGATGTAACAGACAAGTTCAAACATAGCTGAATGTGTGGTTAGAAAATCCACTCTTTGCAGCAGTTTTAGATTGCACAGTCAGTGTCGTCGGTTACATAAAATCCTTTTGGGCTCTTCAGATCTTATAGCTAGTGACGATAAAGATGCATAGTTCTTAGAAGGTTTCTGTAGTTTTAAACTGATGCTTTCCCCACATTCCCAAATCCATTTGTCAAGTGCATCCAAAAATATATATTCTTATAAGGCATTGCGAGTTTCACCTCTTAATATGCACCTTAATGTTTTACTGAATTTGCACAAAATGCCAAATGATAAATCACATTAATTATTTTAAGAAAAGATTATAAGGGGTCAACGCTTCTCTCCATTCTTGCAAGTAACTCCCATTGGTACAGAGGTGAAAGAATAAATTTTATACGTGATGTTCTTTGCCTCTCAGATACTTTTTTGCTTTGTTTTTGGGAAAGCATACCATGAAACCAGTCAGCCAGTCATGTAAATGAATTTGCCTTAAGAATGTTGGTCACCTGGAACCTGATTAGTTGTAAAACGGTAAATAATTTGCAACGTCATTTATCTATGTAGCAAAGGACAATAGTCTGGTAATTTGAATTTGTACTATATATAGAGTTGTTTCACACTGGCTTTTGGAAAGCATTACTGGTCTAAATATTATTAAACTGGGAGCGTAATAGAAACAATGAAGGATAATTAAAATGGCTGATAAGAAGTTGATGACTTCTTCCAAGGAGAGAGAGAGATTTATTAAACAGCATTCTCTAAAATTGGTTGAGAGTTACTTATGAATGTCAAGAAGCTGTACTGTACCAAGTTTCCACCAAATATTGCGGGTCCATAGAGTGTACTGTAGAGGTTTGGCGTTCTGGTAATATCCTAACTACAAGAGTAAAGGTAGAATGGGTTGTAATGACAGCTGTGCTTGAAGATGCACCCTCAGTATCTCTGTGGTGTTTTGATATTTTTTGAAAGATATTGCAAGATTTTAACTAGACAAAACTTGTTTACTAAAACTCCGCAAAATATCCCTTTGTCCTCCTGAATATTTATTTTGTAAGAATTAGTCTGTTAGATAAATAAGGAAAAGGTGAGAACTTCCTGGATATTTTTTTTTTAAAAATTAGTTTGAGTTAGAGGAATGATGTTACTCTGCACGTGCGTGGCACACTTCATCCAAGGATCTCAAAGCACCTTGTAAGCAATTCAGTCTCTCAGCGCCCTATTTTTTGATGGACAAACTGGGAAAAGACGATGCCCTAATCCTGCAAACACGTCCACGTAGTTGCATGGAAGTTAACCACCTGTAAAATTGTGTGCAGGATTAAGGGCCTATGTTAAACAATAATTCCCTATGGTTGCAGACACCACTGCAGAGAGAAGAAGCTGCCATTCACGTGGCACAGCCAAGTGGTCCATCTGTCACTGTGGAAAACTCAATATAGTCACTGAAGAATACTTTAAATGGCTAGAGCCTTAATTTTAAAGGACACATTCGACCAGAAATCTAGTCAGTTTGAAAAAAAAAATCTGTTCCTGCCATTTTTTGTACCTTTGCAATCTTCCTTTTTAAGTTGCATCTTTGTTGCTGTTTGAAAGATTCCCCCCAGAAACAGATGAACACTAGTCATATAGGGAGACTGTGAAACTGATTATACAAGAAGTGGCAAAATGTAAAATTTGCTTGAAAATATAATTGACTATGAACTTCAAAGAACAGGATAAATGTATGAAGAGTGTAAAATTTTTGCAGTTCTTTGGAAAAAGTCATGTTACGACACAGTGAGTGATTTTTAGGTCTAGACTGCTTCTTTTGGGGGAAATCTTGGCTGACTGGTTTATAAATGAAAATGAATAGAATAGTCCATGCCCAGGAATGTTAAGCAGAAATTCCCTTTTGTGTAGCAGAAGTACATTAAGAAAATGAATGCAGAAGCCCATGAGTCAGAAGTGAAGATATGAAGGGCCAGTATTATTATAATGGCAGGGTCACTACTTTAACTAAAACAATTTGTTTGGTATTCAAGGCTAATCTGGCTACTGAAGAGGATGAGTGCTTTGGTCCTCCTTAAGCAAAGAAAGTCTCTGTCACTTGCAGATTGGCCACCAGATGCTCCTTCCTGCTCTAGGGAAGAGGAGTTGGTGCCATATACATTTTCTTCACATCCTATTAGATACTTGAAAACTCATGTCCTCTGAAATGGCTGCAATTGGCAATTTATTCTTTGAATCCTGATCGTGTTCTGATAGTTCAGAGAAGGGAGATAAGAGCATATTCTACTCTCTTCTCTTTTCACCAGGCACTCCTACTTCCTCTGTTTTCCTGTCATTCTCTAGTCACTCTTGCTGAGTGCAGGCAGATCCCACTCCCAGTGGTTAATCTCTCTCTCCCTACTCCTGAGGGAATTCTGCGCCAAAAAATTAAATATTTTGCACACATTTTAAAATTCTGCATATTTTATTTGTCAAAATACCACAGTACAATCACACAGTTTTCAGATATTTGCTGACAAGTATTTTTAAATAAATTACCAAAATAATTGAAAATGGTGTGATTATATTGTTATTGTGTTTGTATTATTTTGACAAAATATGCAGAACTTTGCAGAATTTTAATTTTTTTTTTTTTTTTTGGTGCAGAATTTCTTCAGGAGTTCCAGGGTGCAGTCTGGGTGTGGGCAGCTCAGTAGAGGGTCTGGGTGTAGGGGGGAATCTGGATGCACAGGGGCTTGGTGCGAGGTTCTGGGTGCAGGGAGAATAGGACTCTGCAAGGGGGCACAAGGTGAAGGTGATTAGGGCTGAGTGGGACTTGATGAGGTATGGGGGTCAGGGTGCAGCTGGTTGGAGCTCAGTGGGGTGAGGGTCCGGGTATGGGTGGCTCCTGATACAAGGGGGAGGATCAGCCGTATGGGGTTTGGGGACTCTGTGGGAGGGTTCTGGGTGCATTGGATTCCTGATTACAAAGGTGGGGGAGGGGTCACCATACAGGGAGCTGCTCCCCATGTCCGCTCAATCCCTGTGAATCTGGACCCCCTCCCCGGCTGAACCTCACCTCCCCGCACTTGGAACCCGCCCCCTTGAGCCTAACTGCCCCCCCCCGCCCCCCACACACAGACCCATGGTGCAGAGCTTTATGTAGCCAGGGGAAGTTTCTGGGGCTTGATCTGACCCAGCCCCAGCTGCTCAGCGCAGGAAAGCGGGAGGGTCTCTGTCCTTCTTCTCCGCCCCCCATGCCCAGCTGGGACTAATGTCCCTGGGTGGCCAGGGCATCCCCAGATCCCCTCCCCCCCCAGTAATTTACCTCTTCCCCTGGCTGCCTGAACAGATGTGTCTGAGCTGCCGGGAGGGGTGAGTGAGCACTTCTGAAGCTTCTCTTTGTTTCCCCACAGAAACAATTTTCTGCAAGGAAGCAAAGGAATTCTTGTAGCTCATTTTTCTGCTGCGCTCCAGTTATGCAGAATTCCCCCAGGAGTACCTCTCCCATTCTGCCTCACCTAAGCTACCAGCCTACCTACCTACACGGAGCTCACTTCTGCCCCAGGTTTGACCTCCCTAAACTCAAGTAATCCCCCTCTGCAGCATGTTGGCCTGAGGGAGTGGAGAGGAATTGTCAGCAGGGGGAAGTTTGATAGGGAAGAGAGTTTTCCAGAAAGACAAAATTGACTTACATACTGAAAAATTAAGATTGATATTTGTTAAAGTGTTGATCCTAGCTAGTGTATCTACAGATTCTGCTCGTATTCATTGGTGTCTAATCCTGTTTTGAATCTTATGAGGCCATTTGCCTCAATATCCTGTGGCACTGAATTCAAAAGTAAAATTTTATGTAGTGTAAAATGTATTTCTTTTTATCCATTTCAGATTTATAGCTCTCTAACTTTATTGTATCCCCTTGTCTTGAGTTACACAGTGCAGTAGATTAGAACAGATGTCTTCAGTGCTGTCATTAACAAAGACAGAGAGATTGAGCTACACATACCGTCTCTTAGATCCTTCTTGGGAATTTACAACTGACTCTTATACCCTGATTGGATTGGAGTTGTTTAACTTTTTTCTTTCTGGTGTGTATCTTCTGGCATGTCTATCTTGAAGTTAATCTGCTAACTTGTAGCTCAAATACCTAATGTTGATAGATACTTATTGAAGTTCCTTTTAAAAGAAAAGCCATAAAACCTTGTGCTCCTTGATTCAGCTAAATTTCTCAATCTAAGGAGTCTCTCAGGGTCAGTACTTGGAGATGAAACTTTCAAGGAATAGCTAAATGCTCAAGTAAGTATTGTCTGGGAATTTAGTAAATGGTGCTGTCTTTATCTGAGTATTTTTCCCCAGTGACCCAGCATAGTACCAAAGGAATCTTACGCTGCTGCAGTTTGTGTTATCTTTTGGATAATATTTCAAATGGAGGTCCTGTCGTCTTATGCTTTTGTAGTTCCCTTCACACTTTTTGAAGGAGTATGGAAGTCCTCTCATGGATCAGTAACTGGTTAAAAGATAGGATACAAAGGGTAGGAATAAATGGTTAGTTTTCACACTGGAATGGTCAGTAGCTGGGCACCCCAAAGATCTGTAGTGGGACCTGTGCTGCTTAACATACTCAGATGATCTTGGAAAAAGGGGTAAACACTGAGGTGGCAACATTTGCAGATGAGACACAAATACACAAGATAGTTGAGTCCAGAGCTGACAGTGAAGAGTTACAAACGGATCTCACAAAACTGGGTGACTGGGCAACAAAATGGCAGATGAAATTGAATGTTGATAAATTCAAAGATGATCCCAACTACACATACAAAATGATGGGGTCTAAATTAGCTGTTACCACCCAAGAAAAAGATTGTGCGGTCACTGTGGATAGTTCTCTGAGAACATTTGCTCAGTATGCAGCACAGTCAAAAAAGCTGACAATATTAGGAACCATTAGGAAAGGGATAGATAATAAGACAAAAAATATGATGCCATTATATAAATCCATTGTACGCCAACAGCTTGAATACTGCAGTTCTGGTCACCCCATCTCAAAACAGATATATTAGAATTGGAAAAGTACATAGAAGGGCAACACAGATGACTAAGGGTTTAGAACAGATTCCACATGAGGAAAAATTAAAAAGACTGGGACTGTTCAGCTTAGAAAAGAGACAAGTGAGGAGGGATATGATAAAGATCTATGAAATCATGAATGGTATGGAGAGAGTGCCTAAGGAGGTAGTATTTACCCCTTCACAGAACACAAGAACCAGACGTCACCCAATGAAATTAATAATCAGCTGGTTTAAAACAAACATAAGGAAGTACTTCTTCTCACAAAACGCAGTCATCCTGTGGAACTCCTTGCCAGGGGCATTTGTGAAGGCCAAAAATATAACTGAATCCAAAAAAGAATTGGATGAGTTCCTGGAGGATAGGTCTATCAATTCCAAGATGGTCAGGGATGCAGGCCTATGCGCTGGTGTTCCTAAACCTCTGAGTGCCAGAAACTGGGGCTGAACAACAGGGTGCATTACTCGATGAATTGCCCTGTTCACTCCCTCTGAAGCATGTCATGCAGGTCACTGTTAGAAGACAGGATACTGGGCTAGATGGACCATTGGTCTGATCTGATATGGCCGTTCTTGTTTTTATGATGTACATCTTGGTGTTCTTGCCAATTTTTTCCTCCAGTTATAAATCCTTCCTATATCTCCAGTTGGATATATATATTTTTAATGGCCTTAAGTGTTGTTCAGAGTTCATGTTCACTATGAAACAGTTGTTGCTCACAACCTAAAGCTGACAGCATTTCAGTGGGGTGGGGTGAGATCTCACAAGCCAGACAAAGCATTTGGGTGAAATCTTGGCCACGTTGAAGTCAGTGGCAAAACTCCCATTGATTTCACCCTTAATGTTTTTATAAAGTGTTTTTAGATGCTTACATCTAATGTGCTATAAATTGCAAATTGAGCTTGATGGATTTAAATAATTTTGTATAAAAAAACCCTAAATTTTAGGGTCAAGTATCTCTTGACAATATCCATGCCAAGTTGGCTATTGTTAATCATTTAATTAGTATGCATGTTCCTTGGTTGTAGCAAAGATTCTGTGGTTTTGTAACAGCTCGTCATCTCCTCTTTCTGGATATTCACTTACTTACGAATGAAAATATTCTAATGTGTTTCAGTGATAAAAGAATCTTCTGCAGGCAGTTTACACTGAAGATGATTTATTTCAGTATTTAATAGGAAGAGGAGTTTATTAACAGGTTATTAAACACAACTATTAAGTTTCAGAGTGGTAGCCGTGTTAGTCTGTATCAGCAAAACAACAAGGAGTACTTGTGGCACTTTAAAGATTAACAAACTTATTTGGGCATAAACTTTCGTGGGCTAAACACATTTCAGGTTTTGCTAGAATTATTTTAATGTAATCTAATGAAAAACCTGTTGTAAAATAATAATAACTGAACAAATATGTATTCACCTTAAAAATTAGTCAATATTTAAAATCAGTAAATGGATATTTAAAACAAGTAACTTAGAACAATATGAGACTTTAAAAAGTCTTAAAATCCTTCAGAGTCTGAATCAGTGTCTGATTCACCAAACAGTTCATTAAACTCTGCTTCAGTCACAACTGCACCTGCATTGTCATTGTAGATGTTGACAGTGTCGTCTTCAGTCTCTGATTCCTTCTCATCATCAGCCTCTGTTGTGTCATCATCAAATATGGCATCTTCTGACCCATCGAGTGCATTGCTGATAAAGCATTTCCTAAACGATTTTTCCTGTCATTTCCGAGGGAATGGACACCCACGCATCCTTGATCCATTGGGCGACCAGATTGATTTCAGGCTTCATAAGATTCCTGCCTTTTGTCAACTTCCCCATGCCTGAGCACATCCATTCAGACCACATTTTGCGTAGCCTGTCTTTAAAGGGTTTGTTCAGGCAGACATCAAGAGGTTGTAGAACTGAAGTTAGGCCTCCAGGTATTACAGCCAAATTAGTTTTCATATTTTTGGCCACATTTTTCACCTCATCAGTCTTGTGTGCCCTAACCATGTCCATGTTTCTTGAAAAGTGCTCCTGGTCTCTTATTCCACACTTTTTCCAGCCATTCAATAGTCCCACTTTCATCCATCCATCCCTTTTCGTGTGCACGTACCATGACACCAGCAGGAAATTTCATGTTTGTAGGCAAGGTTATTCTTTTTAAAAAAACAACAACAACAGGAGGGAGCTTTGATCCATTTGCCAAACAAGATAAAACCACCGTAACATGGATTTTTTCATGGCCAGTGGCTTTAATTAAAACTTTTTTGTCGCCAACACTGGTTACCATTCTGTTGCTCTGGAGATCAATGTCATTGGTGTTTTGTCCATATTTGCTGTTTGTGACCGTTCAAATGCATATTCCTTTCGATATTTTATAATAAACCTTTGGAAAGATTCGATTTTTTCTTCCAGATCTCTCGGCAGCTTTTGCGCTATCTTTGTTCGCTGACAGAAACAGAGACTATGACGGTTCATGAAGCGAGTACACCAACTGGCTGATTAGACAAATACTGATGGCTTTATTGACTTGTATTTGTCGTCTTTCGACATTTGCAGAGCACGCAGACAAATTCCAGTTCTAGTGACAATGTACCCATATTGTCGACATTCAGCAACCCAATTATTGAGATGTCTCTTTCCAACTCAGGAAATGAAGTGCACCTCGTTGGACATTTTTTCTTGCTTCTTGGCATGTCTTTTAGTGTTTTATTTTTTTGCCATTCTCTACCTTGCTTCTCATTGATACAGAATTCATGAGCAGCAGCGCAATTATTGTTTGCTTCTGCATATTCAACAACTTTAAGTTCGAACGCTGCGTGATAAACAGACCTTTTTCTTTTGATTTCACCATTGTTCATTTTAAATACTAGTATGAAAATAGATTATTATTATTATTGTAGTTATAGATTTTGTAGGACTTTATATAGGAATATCACCTGCTTTATCGCTGTCAAATGATTGTTCTTTATTTCAAAGCAGCCCTGTAGATTGGCATGTCTGTGGGGATAACAGGCAATTTCAATTTTATTAGAGATTCCATTGATTCTGCACGTTATATTTTCATATTGGCTCGAGACTTATGAGGTCCATTGGTAGAAATGCATGAAGAGATCAAATTACACAGTAGCGGACTGACACAGTGCTATAGTACTATCGTTCATTGTATTTTTCTGATTGGCTTGTAAGGCATAGCATTTTGTGAAATGCATGAGTCAAATGTCATGTAGATCTGCAGCACTGCTCTTTTAGTATTCCTTTCAAGCCAATCTAGTCTACTAAAGAAAGCCTTTGCAACTTTAAAAGGCTGCAGTATTGACATCAATAAATGGGTCGGCAAACTTTGGCTCCCAGCCTGTCAGGGTAAGCCGTTGGTGGGTCGGTACATTTTGTTTACCTGGAGTGTCTGCAGGCATGGGCTGAGGGGCTCCATGCCTGCAGACGCTCCAGGTAAACAAAACGACAGTGTATCAGATATTCAATTCAATGATTCCATAGAGTTTAAAATCATCAAATTTTGGTGTAGACCCATTTATAAGCCCACCCCTGCTCTTTGATGCGTCGCTTGTTTACCAAAAATATTCAGCTTATGAACGAGCATATATGGTATATTTCCTGAATCAAATTTAGTTGCTGTTCCCTCAGCATATTCAAAGGAGAGTGAATGTCCCGGGTTTCTTGGCTAGGAATTGGGAAATTATTGCCTAGAATGTGATAGTACTAACAGGTGCTCCCAACACTCCCTATCCTCACCTCAGTGTCAGTGGATTCAACTGCAGTGGTTGTTTTAGCTTAAAGGGTCCTGTGGTAAATTTAAATAAAGTAAGTTGCTACTTACCAGTCAGTTGGTCAATGTGACAGTTTGTAAATATGAAGTGCTCTTTTGAAATGTCCAGAGACCACAGCAAAACTCTGATGTTGGGTTCCGGAAAAAGCTGTCCTATTAGAGGTACACGTACACAATAGCATGTATATAGAAAAAGCATTAGCAAGGTTTATATTGAAGAGTATGAAGAATTATGGAGCTTCAGTACTTGTACGTGTAATACTCTATCTAAACTTGATGTCCAGCATTTTTTGGTGCAAGGATTACTGTAGGTTGTTTGACTTTTATCTCACTATCTGTTTGTTAAATGATTTTGAGTGCCCAACTGGAGGCAACTTGAAGGAGTCTGTAAGCTGGTGGGCCATTTCGCTAGCAAGGCTACGGAAATAAATCGCCAAACCTTTTAAGGCCTTTTCCACACAATCTTCTCAAAACAAAACAAAAAGCCAAATCAGCTGAGAAATACTGGGCAAATAATCTCCAGAGGCTTTCCCTGCCTCAGCCAGCCAGCAGGGGAGAGGACACACTCTTCCCTCTATTTCCCCTTTTTACCCAGCTTCCCCTTCCTTTTATATTCCACCCTGAGAAGCCATGTGCTCAGTGGGGCCTGTTAACTCTCTTAAAGACTGCAGATCCAGCCTGATTCCCAAGAGCTGCATGCCAACTCTATAAAAATCAGGCTTCTTTCATGGTGGCTCAGATCACTAGTTGCGAAAATCCTGACCATTTTTGTTTGATATTTATTACCAGAAGCCCAGTGAGAATGAGGGTCCCACTGATGGGCATTGTGCAAATGCGTATGAAGACCTTTGCCCCTGAAAAGCTTGAAATTTAAGTAATTAATTCCTTGCTGTGCAATTTAATTTTTCTGATACGTCTTTAAAACTCATCCAAACTTTCTGCTAAAGTCTCTGGAAACTTGTTGGTAGACAGGACATAGCCCTTCGATCAGGGAAAGATTGATCTCACCATTCATATAAGCAAAAGATAAGTGACTCCTAAGTGAAGCAAAAAGGGGAAGGATGCCATTCTAATATCTTTCTATAGTCTTCACTCCTGTACATCACAGTCTGGTTCAAGCTGTATAAAAAAATTGAGATCTGGGATTTACTGGGATCTGGCATGCCAGTTGCTGACTGAAGGAAGGCAAAAGGCAACTGGTGGATATTGCCGTTGCTTAAAACCCTGGGTGTCCTGGGCAAACTGTGGTGTCTTATGGGTCCTGTGAGCATGTTGGACAGACCAGCTGTCATTTTGCATTTGAGAAGAATCCATACAGCCACTTCTGACACTTGATTAGGTTTTGCTCAAGGATTTTTTTTAGCCTAAGCAATAATTAAGCCATTAAAGCTTCAAAAGCAGCTTTGGGGATTTGCTAACATACTGTGACACTTGCAGGTGGGGCAGTAGAACTTACTTTTCTAGGTGTTGTGTGCATCACCAATGTATCCGAGCACCTTCAAGGCTTTTTCAAATTCAAGGCTCTACAAAAAGTACAGATCCTGCAGCCATTTTAAAGAGATGATAGCACTATGTTTCACGTGGTCGTAGTGACGCACCTATCTGTTAATATTAGTGTTCTCTCTCAGTTGAATGGATACCGTGCCAGCAGTCAGTGTAGGCTACTTCCCATGTATTTCATTGAGATATAGTGATTCCTTGGCAGTTTAAGTTCCTGCACTTGAGCTGTCCAGAAGCTCGTGTTTGCCTTGTGAAATCCTGGGCTTCATGACCTATAAACTGTAGAAGCTCTGCTGAAAGTTCTGCAGCTGAAAAGGACAAGTATCTGCACTCTTTTGTATCTAAATTGAGCCTGTAGCTAGCAAAATGCTTAGAATTCTAGTGCATCCTCTTCTCTGGTAAGTGTGATGGCAATGAGTGATTTGAGTCTGCAAACTGGTTCTATTACACGTGCATCTTATTTTTAAATTTTATGCATTTTTAAAATAAAATGCTTAATGTAGCAGTTGAGGAATGACTGACTTTGGATTTTTGATACTGTCATAGCAAAGAATTAAACAATGAAATGGGACTGAATTTGCAAAGCGCTCCCCCCCCCCCCCCGTGCTATAAATGCTTTTCAGAGACATTCTAATCCAGTTTAATTAGATATAGCTAGACTCTTGTCGGATACTGTAATTCAGAATAATTTTCAGCTATAGATAGTAATATTTTCTACTGGAATTTTTATTAAGCACTCCAGTTCAGTAATAATAAGGATGACAAAATCAACCGCAGGAAGGTTAATTATTATGAGTATATAGTGGATTATTTTTCATACCTAAATTATTTTAATTTTGAAGACTGAATTTGCATGGAAAAGCATTATTTGTTGTCTTGGAATATGTTACTTACTTGAGAAAAATAGACTTGCAAAATATTTAAAATTCCAATGTGCAGTATTTATATGTACGTCTGGATAGTTTGTCTTGTCGCCACATTTTTCCATAATTAAATGCTATTTCTTTTTTTCTGAGTTGTAATGTTTGTTTTTGTGCATACATCTTTGTGGCTTTACATGTTCTTAGATAACACTGGACATTTGAATTGTCAAAATAACAGCAGGCACTTTTCATCTTGAAATCCTCAAACCTCTTTGTAAAGTTAGGTAAGCACGATATAATTTTCCTCATTGTATAGAAGGAAAAATGGGAGCACAGAGGAGTTTGTTACTTAACACTTTGGGGCAGATAAAGGGATTGAAACCCAGGTTCCCTGATTCCCAGTCTCTTTCTCTAACCGCTCAACTAAATTACAAGAATAAACATATTGCTAGGTCTGAGGTCACTTTCTTTTTCCTGAAGAAATATTTTTATTACCTGTAAGGAATCTGCATTGCATTTCCTCACTGCTTGCCCTTTGGCATCTCAGAGGTAGGAAGCGGTTAATAACAGCATTGAAATAGCAAAATCTGTCAGTATGTACTATATAATGTCTGACAGTAGCTGTCTTTTAGAATAGAGAGCTACTAGTTACAGCAGCAATATAATTAAGATGTGTAGCTCCAGGACACAGGATCACATCAAAGACCGAATTAATGATGCTAGTACTCATCTCCCATTACACTATGCATACATTTTTATTTTGCAAACTTATTTTATGCAATTCAATCTGGTTATTCAGTATGTGGATTTTTTTCTGCAGTGTAGCCAGAAGTCTTAAATAGTAATCAGTTTTAAAATATTTTGTACAAGGTTTTTTTTGTTTGAAGAATTTTTCTAATAGAAAAATTAAACGTGTAAGCTGTTTGAGTCAAATTTGTCTTTATTCATAGTGTCTCTTGCCATTGGGGCTGTTCGTTTTTGTAGGGGTTGTACTGATTTCTCAAACCATAGTATAAAATGAAATTAATTAGTAAATTTAATCTATTACACATTCTCATCAAAAGCATCAGCTGGGCCAGTGACTCATTCCAAGCAATTCATTAGAAGACTGTTCCCTATCCACATTTGAGACAACCTGCTCTTGGATCTCTCATTCAAATGTATTACTTTTTATGTGTCTCCTGTTCTGAGGACAGTACGTACCTCATTTGCTTCTTCTGCAATGAAAGTTAACAAGGCAAAGCACTTAAATTGGTAGCTGCCAACACTTCATTTTACTTTGCTCTTAGTCTAAGTGATTGGAAATTGTTTATGATTGGGAAAAAATACAGTCAAATGAACATTTAATCAAGTTAAATTGGCATTGCTCTTTATGATTAAACAAGTAAATTATGTTTTCATATAGACAATCCCATCCTTATTGTAACTTTCAATCCCACTCTTTTAACATTGATCAAGTGTTGCTACTTTTTGTATTACACTGGACTACTTCTTTCAGTGGATAGAAAAGAAGTACTTGTGGCACCTTAGAGACTAACAAATTTATTTAAGCATAAGCTTTCGTGAGCTACAGCTCACTTCATCGGATGCATGCAGTGGGGAGATTTTATTTACACAGAGAACATGAAACAATGGGTGTTACCATACACACTGTAGCAAGAGTGATCAGGTAAGGTGAGCTATTACCAGCAGGAGAGAAAAAAACCATTTGTAGTGATAATCAAGATGGGCCATTTCCAGCAGTTGACAAGAACGTGTGAGGAACAGTTTGTGTGTGTGTGTGTGGGGGGGGGGGGGAGGAATAAACATGGGGAAATAGTTTTACTTTGTGTAATGACACATCCACTCCCAGTCTTTATTCAAGCCTAAGTTAATGGTGTCCAGTTTTCAAATTAATTCCAATTCAGCAGTCTCTCATTGGAGTCTGTTTTTGAAGGGTTTTTTTTGTGGAAGAATTGCCACTTTTAGGCTGTAATCGAGTGACCAGAGAGATTGAAGTGTTCTCCGACTGGTTTTTGAATGTTATAACTCTTGACGTCTGATTTGTGTCCATTCTTTTACGTAGAGACTGTCCAGTTTGGCCACACACAAAGATGGACTACAAGCCGTCAGGAACAGTATCCCCGATAATGTCACAGCAAACCTGGTGGCTGAACTTTGTGACTTTGTCCTCACCCATACTATTTCACGTTTGGGGACAATGTATACCTTCAAATCAGCGGCACTGCTATGGGTACTCGCATGGCCCCACAGCATGCCAACATTTTTATGGCCGACTTAGAACAACGCTTCCTCAGCTCTCATCCCCTAATGCCCCAGTTCTACTTGTGCTACATTGATGACATCTTCATCATCTGGACGCATGGAAAAGAAGCCCTTGAGGAATTCCACCATGATTTCAACAATTTCCATCCCACCATCAACCTCGGCCTGGACCAGTCCAAACAAGAGATCCACTTCCTGGACACTACGGTGCTAATAAGCAATGGTTACATAAACACCACCCTATACCGGAAACCTACTGACCTCTATACTTACCTACATGCCTCCATCTTTCATCCAGACCACACCACACGATCCATTGTCTACAGCCAAGCTCTACGATACAACCGCATTTGCTCCAACCCCTCAGACAGAGACAAACACCTACAAGATCTCTATCAAGCATTCTTACAACTACAATACCCACCTGCTGAAGTGAAGAAACAGATTGACAGAGCCAAAAGAGTACCCAGAAGTTACCTCCTGCAAGACAGGCCCAACAAAGAAAATAACGGAACATCCCTAGCCATCACGTTCAGACCCCAACTAAAACCTCTCCAACGCGTCATCAAGGATCTACAACCTATCCTGAAGGACGACCCATCACTCTCACAAATCTTGGGAGACAGGCCAGTTCTTGCTTACAGACAGCCCCCGAACCTGAAGCAAATACTCACCAGTAACCACACACCACACAACAAAAACATTAACCCAGGAATCTATTCTTGCAACAAAGCCTGTTGCCAACTCTGTCCACATATCTATTTAGGGGACACCATCATAGGGCCGAATTACATCAGCCACACTATCAGAGGCTCGTTCACCTGCACATCTACCAATGTGATATATGCCATCATGTGCCAGCAATGCCCCTCTGCCATGTTCATTGGCCAAACCAGACAGTTTCTAAGTAAAAGAATAAATGGACACAAATCAGACATCAAGAATTATTCAAAAACCAGTCAGAGAACACTTCAATCTCTCTGGTCACTCGATTAAGACCTAAAAGTGGCAATTCTTCCACAAAAAGATTCAAAAACAGACTCCAACAAGAGACTGCTGAATTGGAATTAATTTGCAAACTGGACACCATTACATTAGGCTTGACTAAAGACTTGGAGTGGATGTATCATTACACAAAGTAAAACTATTTCCCCATGTTTATTTCCCGCCCTACTTTTCCTCACACGTTTTTGTCAACTGCTGGAAATGGCCCACCTTGATTATCATTACAAAAGGGTTTTTTTCCTCTCCTGCTGGTAATAGCTCACCTTACCTGATCACTCTTGCTACAGTGTGTATGGTAACACCCATTTTTAATGTTCTCTGTGTATATAAATCTCCACACTGTATTTTCCACTGCATGCATCCGATGAAGTGAGCTGTAGCTCATGAAAGCTTATGCTCAAATAAGTTTGTTAGTCTCTAAGGTGCCACAAGTATGCCTTTTCTTTTTGCGGATACAGACTAACACGGCTGCTACTCTGGAACCTTTCAGTGGGTAGGCTCACTAGTATTTTTTGTGTCTTTAAAAAGTGACACAGGTTTCTCCATGTATGTGAAGTGTGTCGGCACTTAAAATGCGAAACCCATTTAAGCATGCTGCACATTGTGTTATGGTATAGACTTCTCACTGGTATTCTTTCTATGTAAAGTTTTTTATTTTTCCTGTTTTGTTTCACCTTGATCTTATGTTTGTTTTATGTTAATAGGCCCACTGTTCTGTAGAAGCACATTTAATACATGACTTTGGTCCATGAATGATTCTTTTATATATCTAAGCTTAAGACAACTGTGTCATTATATAAGAGTGAGTCATTTTGTTGCAAATAAACTATTTAACCTTGTATTCAGTTAGAGGAACCTATTTTATTCTTTTCTCTCTTCATTTTATGTTCTTATACCATTCTTTATGCTACATGAGTGGTAGTTTCTGTACTTCTGGATGTTGGTGAACTAAAGGTTTAGTTTTTGCAGCAGGAGACGGGTGACCTTCATTTATCTTTAAAAGAGGCTGGCATCAACAACTCTTAATCTTCTGTAAGATGGTGCCCAATATTGTGCTAAGTACATCACTTTTTGAGAACTACTGTATATACTGCATCATGTGTCTAAGCCGGAAAGGTTTATTCTGTATTGTAGCACACTAGTTTAACTGTTATTGCACAAACATGATATCATGCACTCGGGATCTTCAAATGTGTTTCAATAAGAGTCTGAATCTGCTGATAGATTTAAAAGCATTAGATTTTAATATTGCACGGTATGCTTTATTATACAAGTGGTGTTATTTGCTCAAAGTTCTTGTTGTACAGTACACAAACTAAACATCTTCATTTTAATGGGGCATGAAAATAACTTTGCCAGTCATAAATTATACCTAAGCAATGTTTGTGGCACTGGACAATGTTACAAGTCTCCTGCTTTGAGATAAAATACCCAAGTACTGAAACAAAAGATGATCCTGTTGCATTGTCATGGAGCACCATTATTTCAAGCGACTAATACACACGGAGTCACTTTGTCTGGTGGTGCAGTAATGATAGTACTGGGCCATCATTGATTGGCTGCATTCTAATTAAAGAATAAACTTGTTTTGTGCACCGACTTTTGAGGTCATTTTATCCATGTGACTTTAACAGTGAATTGATTTCTGATTTCTCTCTAATTGGGGGACCTAGGGTTTCAAAATAGAATTCCAGGCAGCCGGCCATTGGAGTAGCTGGCACCAATTTTACTGACGATTGGTATAACTAGATACAAATACTGCACCTGATCCAGCAATCTTTTCTCATATGAGTGGTCTCACTGAAACCTCTGGGGCTATTTCATGAGGGAGAGAAATTACAAAACTTGGCCTCTTATTTGAATCACTCTTTGACTTAAAATGAGTTTGTCTCTGATGAAAACTAATGTTAATTCTTAAGCAGGAAAAGTCTTCTGTCACTTTTTACTTATGTACACAGACAGTATGAATATTAAAAAGATCCTCCTTGTTTTCTGTATTTGGAATAGATTAAGTTGAAACAG